TTGAAAAACTACACTTTCTTCTTTAGTTGTACAAATAACTATTAGTCCTTTGCGGAGTGAATGACCTCTACTGCCAAAAACTGTCATCATAGGCTAGTAGTAAAAAAAATAAGTTACCTCTTTACTCAGAAGCCTCGCGCTCGCTTTCCTCTCAGTGATATCGAAAACAAGCTATCCCTGATGTTAAAAACTGGAAAAATAATTTCTTGTATCTTATAGCGATGCTATATTGACATTTCAATAGGTTTCAAGAGCTAAATCTCTCTTTAATAGTAATTTCTTTAACCTCAAGGACATAAAGAGAAACAAATGATTGTACATTCTAATGACATCTGTCATTCTTATTAGAAATGTGACGTGGGACACGAAATAAAATGAAGTTCAAAACAGAAAACAACATTGTTTCAATGGAAACGACGGAACTTAAGCTTGTAATTTTTGACTTCTAAATTAAATTCATAATTTTCTGAAGTGTTATAATGATCGACGATGACTTCGCAATAAAATAAAGTATTTTATTATACACGACAAGAAAGAAAAGGGAAGTTAATTCACTCGATAGATCCCTTTATCGTCTCCAAATTTACCGAAGTAGTGTAAAAAAGAGTATAAGCCAAAACATAAATTACTTCTTTATTCATAATGCATTATTCCCTTTTATTTAATTCTGTTCGAATTAATTTATTATATAGCGACGAAGATTGGCAAGTAATAAGAAGGATTAGGGTTTACTTTGGGAACAAAAGTGAACATAACGTGATTTTAACCATTTGCCTCGGAAAAAATTATTTCTTAAAAAACGGTATAATTGCTTTTATTTCCACCCTCACGTCCCTTCCAGCATTTTTAAAGGATGATTTACAAAAAATACATCGATCAATTAAAACTAGTGTACAAAATTCTATAGTAGGTACTATTTTACCCTTTAGCTTAAATTACACGTGGCAATTTCTTCTTCAATTTTTAAAACTTTCTGAAGTTCTTAAAATACAAATTCGCGGAGATGCTTGTACAGGTCTGAATTTTAAGCTCAATTTCAAGAAAAGAAAATTCAAGGAAGTTGCTCAAATTGTTTTTAATAGATTATGTTTAAATAATCTGTAACCAACCCTTTAACAATCCTTTATTAATAAATTTCCGTCTACTTTAGGTTTGCGAAATTTTTTAAGTCATTCATACTTGCATGTAAAGCACTCTTATACTCTACGTAGTACACTAAAATGTTACAGAAATAATAGATTTCATTCTCCCCTCGTACCTATAATCATACCAATAGCTTACTGTACTGGAAGACGAGTTTAATTTGTATACTACCAACTGATATATCATGTTTATAAGTCAGACCGCTCATCGTGCGTAAGTAAAGAACACCCTTTAGAAGGATAAGAAAATCTTTATAGCAGTGAATGTATAGGTAATTCTTTTACGCAGATAATACCGTATAACATAAAAAGATAAGCCAAAAAGGTATAAATTTGCGAAACACCATCCATTAATACGTAATTTAATCGCGTTGGTGAGATTTAAAGTTGGAAGGTGGTGATAAAATATTTGAGATTAGCTAAGTTGGCTGCAACCAGCAGCTCGATTTTATTTGTCCTCGGGGACGCACCTACCTGTTCATGGCTCGCTTTGCAATTAAGATCGCTAAATCTATAAATCCCTTTAACGTGTTTAGTATGTTTAATCGCTACATCTGGAACTATCATTGTTATTAATGGCGGAAAACTTACGGTGGTACCTGTTATAAGCCGATAAACGTGCCATGTCATCTCTCTCCCATATGAGTTTATTAGGGGTAGATTAATGAGTCAGGACTGTATAATAATGTGACAACTTCAATTCGGTGTCTTCATCCGTGCAAACGTTTTTGTAATTTTCAAAGGGACGTTCCCGTTGCGTGCAATACCAGAACTGACATAAAATTATTCGAATAATTCTTCATATATCTCGCGACCCTTCTCATCACATCACAGACCATCAAATATTCACGAATAACATTACCTTTTACTGGAGGGAATGTGTCTAAAAACGTAAGCCTCTGTTGTTTTATACATATGTATATACTGAAATGTCTCTCCAGTTCCGCGTGCCCAATGCAGTAGAAAAGTATCTATAAAGAACGAGGTAAAGGCGTTTCTTAAATTACTTATAAAAATTAATCGATAACCTCTGCACGTTTTCTTTCACAAGATGCTTGCAAAAGTTGCCCCTCATTTAAGTTGTCGTTAAAAGTTTTAATATAAGTTTTGTGTAATAAAAACCGAGGAAGTCTTAAAAATGAAACTGTAGCATTCCCAAATCATGCAAACGAGTTGCGTTTACGGGAAATGGAAATAGAGAAATAACTAAAGATTACATTGTGAGTTGTAGAACGAAATTAGGTACGGCCTTTAGAACAAAATAATATTAAAAGTTATAATAGCCCAGAAGCTTACCTAACAAACTTTCATAGGGTTCATGAAAAAGAGATTTTTCAATTGAAGCCATCCGCCACCCCCCGGCAGAAGAGGGTAACCCACCCCTAAAGGTGCATTTTTTGAGTTTTTGGCATTTAACAAGAAAACTACACTACATTAACATTTTGCATTTGACAAAAAATGCTTTGAGGGTGATTTGATTTCATCAAAATACTCAATAACATACTCAAAACCCAAAAGGGCACTCTATTACAATAATTGTTGGCTAAAAAATATCCAAAAAAAGTACGCCCCCTCTATCATTACCATCTACATCAGAATCTTTAATTACACCTATTCATAGACCACTTTGTTATGACTTACAGGGGAGGGTGCGAGAAACTCGTAAAACAGGATTTTTTTGTTAATAGCGTTTTACAGGGAAACTACGCCATTTAGCAAATAACGGCGATGTTACCTTTTTTGTAGAACAGACAATTCCCTATTAATTGAGGGTACTAACTTTTGATCTATCCCTACTGTAACAGCTTAAACATAAACATAGTCGGTTACTCAGCTTAAATTTGGTAACCAATTTTCAGATGAAATATATTTTTTACAATACCTACACTAACAAATTAACTAAAAGTCAGAGTCTGTCCATACAGGGTGCGCCATTTAGACGTGTGGGTTCTCTGTTCCCCAAATTCTACAGTTTTGCGCATCATTTTTTTGCTTTTGCAATGGTAGCATAGTTTTTAATCTCCCTTACAAACACATCAATTTTCACCCTTCCATTTTCTTTCCTAAATAATTCTATTAGATTATCGTCATTTCCTAACTGAGTTACCTACTGTTAATTCTGGTATTAGCGTTTCTAGTGGTTTAACAAATTCATCCAAACTAAATGGTTTTGTAATTGTTGTAATTGTATCGCTAACGCCATTGACGAAACGTTTTGACAAAAAAATACGTTTTTAGATCTTTTTTCGGTGTAGAACAGGATACGAAGGTTGATTGTAATTTATTTTTTGTGTATGTCCTACACAAGCTTTTAATACATAACTAATTACTGGTTGCTTACCTATACCTTACGTCATCCAGAATAACTTCGTAAAGTGCTATTCCATTTACATATTAAATCGTAAACAAACTTTAATTTTATCTGTTAATTTCGGAAGCAAACTACGCAGTTCTAAAATCAAGTTTCTCCAATAGTTACCAACAATTCTACTACTTACCTAAATCTGAAGGATTCATCATCATTCCGCTAGAATTCTTTGACACGTTCCTATTTTATTTTTATAGCCAGTAAGTAAAACAAAAATGAAATCTTTTCATTCCCTAACGCTAACCTATCAACTTCATTCAAAATAATGTCGCATTATGAAAATATCGATCAATTAATACTAAACAATTTTATTAAGAAAGCAGAACCCGTAAATCCCGTTGTTTCCCGTTCGTAGTAAAATCCCGTTTTTTTCCGTTCCCGTTCCGGTTGGGATTTCGTGTTTTACTATAACAGAAACATTCGCGAGTGTACGTCCAATCATTCCCCAAAGTTTAATCCCAATCGGATGAACGGTTTAGCCAGGCATAAGAGACATACAGACAGACAGACATTCATTTTTATTTATTTGTGCCATCTATAGCTAATATTGCGATTTGAAAGGACGGGTAATAGAAAAATCGATTCTTTCCATACAGTTTTTTGAAAATTATGTTTTATACAAACCTTGTCTTGTTAGTAACAAACACAACAATAAAGAATTATTTAATTTGGTGCGGTAATTCTGAACTTATGCTCGCACATTTCGGCGATTCATTTTTATTTAAATTGATTGCGATCATAAAAAACAGTAACCAAAGACATCCCATTACATCACAAGGAATAGGTATCATAAAAATTTGGTTTATCAATTTCACCACAATTTTACCACAAATATTTTGTTCTTAGTTCTTGTGATCTTGTGAAGATTCAATGATTTGCATGTGGATGATTCTAGGGAGTGCCAGGGTGGAATTGACGTATTCAATTGGACTTCTCTGTAAATTATGTCGAGTCGAGTGTAACTTTCCTCTCCGTTTATTTCGGCAATGTATTCATTGTAAGGTAAAATTCCTTTTGAACCTTCAAATACGTTTTTGAAATCCGGAAAAGAGACACCATCAAATTTTTCGGTTATTTTTGGTTGGGTTTTGTAAAGCTTCTGAAGACTTAGTGAATTTATCTGCGTAGGATACGGTGAAAGGAGGGTGCATTTGTTTTTTTGAAGTACTGGGTCCAGTCCAATGATTAGGGACGATTATTGGGGTGCACACATTTCAGCATTATCTAGACTTTACCGAAACTTTTATTTACTCCATCAATTTAATTAAATACTGTTTAGAATGTCGTTTGTAATACGGTCTTATGTACTTAATTAATAAAGTTATTTTTCAGAAAATGAAATTTTAGCTATGGTGTATGATGTGTTGCCAGCCATTAGCTTTAAATTTATGGGAGGGTATGTGTAGGAAAGATGATGCTTAGTATAAATACTACCTCGTTAGCTCCAACGGATTGTGTGAGAACTGGTAGCTGTCAAAATTGAAAATAATCTCAGTACTTCTAAAAAATGTCTGCGTGTACTCGGTTCATTTAGCAGTCTGCATCACATAAAAGCTTAATTTTGCTTTAGATTCGAATAGTATTTATTTATTTACAGGTTTTCAGCATGGATTTCGGTAGCTTATTACAAACAGCAAAAGTAAATGATCAATCCAAGAAGGAAGTAGGTTTATTTTTAATTTTTTATCCTATTCATATCTTAACATGCATAAAAGTTGAAGGCCAAGATTTAAAGTAATTTTTTTCAGGTTCGATACTACAGCACCAAGTTTGCGCCACCTAAAAAGGAAGAGAAGAAGACTACCAATTTGTCCGCGAACATTCAAAAGTTCTTGGCACGGAAAGAAGCCGAAGAGAGACAGAAACAGAACGATGCAGTACGTAAACGAAGTGAACTTCTTGCTTTGCGTTCGAAGGTACGTTGGTGTTTTTCACTGGGTGTGTTTGCACCTTGGGTTTTTGCAGGATAAGAAGGCAACACGGCGTGTAAATGTCATGTTGAAACGTACCAAATCTGCAAATCAGTCCGTTATAGAGGATGCGGTTGACAAAGATAATACTGCAGTAACGCTTGTAGGCCCTTCACAACCCGATGAAGATGATTACGGCTATGTTTCACAAGAAGCTTCTGCTTTTTATAATAAAATGATGGAAAAATACAATAAGATGCCGGATGATCCTAAATTTCCCTCATCAAGGAAGAAAGCTAGTATCAACTTGACTAGTACTAAAGATCGTGTCAGAGCTGCCTTAGAACGGGAAAAAGAAGAAGCACTTATGCCTCATCGGCGCAAACGTAAAACGAAAGAGGAGGAACCAGAAATTGAAAGCACAGAGAGGGTGGATGAATATAAAATTGAGCCTCCTGTTAAAAAGAAACCCAAAATGAACGCTCCTCCCGCTTTAAATTTTAATGATTTGCTAAAGCTGGCGGCTGTCAAGCAGCACGAGCCCATTATGATTGAAGTTAAACCAAAAGAAGAGGAGGGTCCGCTTTTAACTAAGAAACAAAAGAAGGAACTTGAACGGGAGCAGCAACGCAAAGACGCCAAGAATCAAAAGATATTACAGCAATCGAACAGTAAGACACCAACTAGACCTCTCCAAAACATCCAGGAGAAAAAAGCCCCACACTCATTACAAGTAAATGGTAAAGTTCCCACCAGGCCTGAGTCGCAACCTCCAGAAAAAATTAATAAAGTTCCTCACCCTACAAAGCCTAAGCAACCTGTACCAACCAAATCTCCGTTACCTACACAGAGGGTGGCCGCAAAACCACCTCCCCCAAGTAAAAGTGACTTACAAAAAAGAAGTTCGGATATTAATTCCAGACCGAGTTTCACAAAGCCACCGGTATCTAAGCTGCCGCCTCCTAGACCGGTTAAAAATGGGGCGGTACCTCGAGCACAACAGCAACGTGATAGGGAATCTTCGGTTGCAGTAAAATCGAAACCGCCCGCAAACACTTCGATTAAAAAAGCACCTCCTGCTCAGCAACCCAAACCGAAACAGTTCCCTCCTCCCGATGTCAGAAAACAGTTCCCTCATCCCGATGTGAGAAGGGGAGATCCGCCACCGAAACAGAAAATGTTAATGAAACGTAAGTTATTACTATTGCACTTGCCAATTCTGGGGGTAACATAGAAATTGAGATCTTTAGATACATGTTACTGGTATTCTAGGCCGTATAATCGATGATGATGAGTACGACTCGGAAATGGACGACTTTATAGACGACGGTCCCGAAGACATGCAAGATTATTCCACTTACATCAAGGACATATTCGGTTACGACAGAAATAAGTACAGGGACATAGATGATGATGTCGATAATATGGAGTCGACGTTTGCGCAACAAATGCGCGAGGATGTCAGGAGCACTAAGCTAGGTAATGATGTTTTTTTTCTTTTAATTAAATCGTTGTAATTAATTTGCGTGTAGGTATAATGGAAGATTTAGAAGATATCAGGCGGGAACGCGAGGAAAAGAAGAGAAAAGAAATGCGAAAGAAAGGAAAGTTATAACATTGGGTGCATGTGATTTAAAGGAAGTCTCGTTTATTTATATGTATAGTGTATTCTTTGTATATTATTAATGGAACTTTGTTTAGAACATACATTATATTTATGCTTTTAATTGTCTTGGACTGTGACTAATTTTCAATTAAATCCTGTATGATAGTAGGCATTGCATGTGGGTCTCCATCTGGACTAATATTAAACCGTATAACAAATACTGTAATGAGGAATGCAATGCTGTCTTGTATGGTTGAGCTACAAACTCATCCTAGCTGCAAAAACGTACTATTTATTTTTTTTTATTTATTTATCTTAAGGAAATTCACCTGAAATAATTGGTAAACCATTGAAAATCATTCCAATTACTTTAACATTTTTTTGTATTACATTTGCTCTAAATTATGTTATAATTATTCATTCTGACTTTAACACAGTATAGTCAATGTTTTTACAATAGCAGTACTTTGGGAGCTACAATAAGGGGTCAAAATTGAACACAATATTAACATGTGTGTTTTCATGGAACTGTGTACTCCATGGTGTCATTGAATATTACTTATCCAATGATGGTGTTTAACTGGCCCGCTGCAACAGCGAACTGAATAGATACCAATGGTATTACATAAGTATTGTCCAAACATGTTCCGAATGATTATGATTGTGCAGTAATATGGGTATTTCGGTGCGAAACGTAATAGATTTCTAACATAATCTCATTTTTCTTCATTTGAAAACGTCATTTTATCGAGAAACTTGTAATAAATAGACGTGAAAAAGCAACAACTACTGAAATTTTAACGAATTGTCAAAGATGTGTATTTGTTAAACAAAAGAATGCATGTTCTTTCCAAAGCACTTTTCGCAAAAACGGTTTTGCCAAAGTTGAAACATACAGTGTGTAGAAGTAGACATAGGGATTTCCTATAGGAATTTGCTATGCCTACTTGTAAATGATCAAGTCTTCTGAAAGACGCCTAACTTTATGCAACCAAAATAAGTAAGTACCTACAACAAATGAAGATCTGCCTGTCATATTAATTAATTTGAATTCCGTATTCAAATTTTCGTTTGTGTGCGATGTATTCAACTAAAGAAAAAGTTGATATTTCCAATTGGTATAGTGCCAATAACAATTAATGGAGCTTAAGAGATTTATTTTCTGTGCAGCCAAAGCAACAATATTCAAATTAATAATTAATATGACAGCCAGATGTTCATTTGTTTCAAGAAGTTATGGATTCCTCATAAAAAAGTGCTTTAATAATGTTTTAGTGTAGAACGTCCAGTGTTTCTCGTTATAACCTGACGAATTATGCTATGGAATTGCTCTTCAAAGAGTACCTTGAGTGGAATTATTAAGCTACGTAAGGTAACAACCCTAATGCACTCCCTCTATTATGTAGTGTGATATTGGGAAGTATACGTAATGATTAACGTGCATTGTTTTTTATTATGTCTACTTTTAAATGACAAAATCTCTTCTGAATTCTGATTGTAACTTTAGCTTCACAAAAAATAAATCCCGTATGCTCCTTAAACTGTTACCGGCACTATACCAATTGACAACATTAACTTTTTCTTCAGTTGAATACATCGCACACGATCGAAAATAAAAATACGCAAGCTAAAACAACAATTAAAATTAATTAATATAACAGCCAGATCTTATTGTTTTAAAAAGTTATTTTGGTTGCATAAAAGTAGGCGTCCTTCAGGAGATTTTGTCACTTAAAAGTAGACAGTGGCTAAGTACAAATACCACCTGCGCCTGTAAAGATTGTTCCCAAAAGTTTATTCGCTCGTCCTTTTTTATGTCTAAGAATATGTGTAGGTACCAAATTTGATTCCAATCAGTTCAGCCGTTTAGACAGATAGACACCTAGTACCGACATCATCGACTTGTTTGATTCGGATTTCTGGTGCCCCAGAACGTGTAATTCCGTAAAAAAAGTGAGGGGCCATTTTTTGCCCCAATGCAGTACCTCCCTTACCAACGTGCGAGTGGTATCAATACACGTTAATCCCTGCCTACTTCCACTGTATATTATTTTATTTGTGATACGATGCATAGGGTTTAAGGGGGAACGTCCTGCGCAACCCCTCGTGATAGGTAACTACAAACAAATATGTTGTCTCGACCTCGTGAATGAGCCTAAATAAATTGGAATGTAGCTAATAAAGATATGAGAAATAAAGATAACCCGTGGCGGAGAGTTTAAACTTTGGGGGGGATAATTTTGTGAACGTACCTTTTTGGTTCAAGGTCCACCAGCGAGACGCCTTTAGGATTGGTTATCTGTTGAACTTCGATCGTTTTATTGGTGGCGCATTTACGTTTGGTAAAAGGTGGTTTAATGCGGTTGTGAACGTCCACAATCGGTTTTCCCCTCAATAAACATAAATAAACGAAATTCCATTAAAAACTCACAATTAAATGAAAAGAAAATGGGACACAACGCAAGTTCACAACTCAATTTTGTTTCGCAATTATTAAACGACGAGTCCACATCCCAAACATTAATCTCCGAAGAAATTCAGGACATGAGTTACGAAACGTTTTTAAAACTTTTGGGAGAATTAAACGTTCTGTATGTTGTGCTTCGTTGATGGTGTAAGTGAAGTTTGAATTTTAGATCGAAAAAGTGCTTGGACTCCAGTGGTAAACAGCTAGTATTCGCAGTGAAACGAGGGACAGATTCGACGGTCTTCTGGAAAGCTACCGTACAAATAGCTTGCGTTAAAGTGGATGCAGAAGCGGAGAATCAAAAGGTGGATTCCTATCGGTTGTTAACACTGAGTGAATTTTTAAGGGTGTTTAAGACGTTGAAGTGCCAATACCTCGCAGTGCAGCAATGTAAAAGGTTTTCATTCGTTTAACTGACCAATACAAATCATGTCTTATGCTTGTAGCTTAAATCCGAACAGGGAACCTATTTTGTCGACCTCCACATTTTTTAATCATCTTGATAATGTTACCAGTGACAGCTTAGGGGGTGTTGAACGTTCGGAGTGTTGCATTTGTTTAGAAAGGAAGATTGAGGTCATATTACCTTGCGCGCATAGTTACTGTACGCCCTGTATCGAGCAGTGGTAAGACGGTTCGACTTGTCATACTTTTAAAATGTGTTTGGTCTAGGAATGAAGTAGACGAGTCGTGTCCTATTTGTCGTGAGCGGCTCGAAAGCACCGAGGACGCATGGGTACTCTCTGAGGTGCCGAAAGCTGAAGAAATAAGTAAAGAGATTCAGTCTAATTTAATGAATCTGGCAGATGTTCATGTGAATTCGTGCACATCTTCGTAATCTACCCTTATTTGTCGCTAATAATTTATTGTATGAACCATGTAGGGTAGGCTTTCATATTGGGAACTTCTTATAGAGTAAATTATATAGAGTAAATAAATAGGTTTAGAGACAGAGCTGTGTTAAATTTTGTTGGCGGGACACTGTCGTTTGCATGTACAGGGTGAGTCAACCTTTTACGGTCGACAGCGTTAGAGGAAATAGTTATTTACATATGAGTATGGTAAATCAAGGTTTACGTTAACGAGTGACGTTAACTGATTTAACATACAAATAATGTAAAACATTTTATTTCATACTGCTCTTTTTTTTCTATTAAAATTGCCATACAATTTTTGATTTGAACGTGTACGCGTTCAATTGAAAGCAAAAGTCGATCACTTGATTTGTTTGATCTGACAGTAGTTTGACACATTAATACATAGGTTTAGATGGATGTCAATTGATGTTGCTAGGCAACATTTCCAGTCTGGTAAAAATTTTCAGTCTGGTAAAATACGATTTACCAGACTCAAATCAGTCTGGGAAAGCGGCGATTACTAGATAGTATGAAATAAATGTTTTTTGTTGCTGGGGTGTCGATATGGTTTTTTTAAATGGAACATATTATATTTTTTAATACGTGATGCCTTTTTTACGTTTTATCATTTTTTGTAATCTTAACTGAAGAAAACAGTTCCTTTTGTGTCCCCAAGACCAGAAAGTCTTAATTTAACACCCCAGGGTTCTTGAATGAAGGCAATATCCTGCTTGACAATGAGCTATCTGCCTACACATAAGACCAGACCAGCCTTCCCCCTACAGTGTGGCAGGTTTATTTGTACAAAGTTCCTTTCATCAAGGGTGCAGTGCAGTCAAATTTTATTTCTCCTCTTCTAATTGTGAAGACTTTAGTCGCACTTCACTCTTTTTCCTTCTGGTAAGAATACAACCCACTAGGGTGAGCATGCCAACACTTTTTAGTGCACTTTCACTTTCAAAAAATAAAATGTGCACTTGCCCTCCTTTTATGTCTGTCTGTCTGAGGCACAAATGCTCTGGAACTACACCACTTACAGACTTGGTATTGGGGTCATTCGATCAGAAATTAAAAATTGTCATGTTTGTACTCTCGTTAAAGCATGAAATGTCCATAAGGGCTATTAAAATGGAAAAAATAAATTTGAAAGTGCTCTTCACAAGTGGCTTAACGAATTTTTAAAAAAAATGCTGCCTATAGGAGGCTGTGGTGGCATACACCACTAGCTTTGCATGTTTACAGTAGAAAGAACACAGTAGCCCTTCACAGTAACTTTTTCTGAACAAACACTCCATTCCACGATTCCACATCCTGGTGCCGATTGTTAAGAGTACTTAAAGACAGATGCACGGATGTGATCAAATGTATTTATTGATCTTTATATATAATACATTATAAAAATTAATTTATAGAGGTGCACTTTTTCCTCGTCCAAAACCACCTCTGAATTCCATTTCAGCTGTACCAGCACCAACATCTGCCTTCTTATCTGAGCCAGGCGCAGCACCGGTCCTTCTATATCCAACACGGTCCTCGGATGGTTTGGACGACTCCCGACCAGCTGTGGGTGCTGCACGAGGTCTGGCAGTTTCTTGTCTGACCGGCCGTTTCAATGTAGATGGTACAATTTCTGACGGTAAGTGAAGTAACGTTCTTAAATATTCGATACCTTCGTTTGTCAAATACCTACAATACTCTTAACTAAAATGTTCATTACTACTACGGACGGTTACCAGTAGAAGTGTCTCCATGCGAATTGCTCTTTGACGTAACCCCTCGATTTTAAAGACTGCATTGCCTTTATAACCTGCAAGTTTGGAATCAACTCCAATTCTGGATGTTTGGGTGCGTGGTAATCCTTTTTGGCCACCATTACGCCTTCCTTAAAAAGGTATTCGTAGATGGCAATCCTATTTTTCTTGGGCATCAACATCCTGAAAGAATTGGGATTACAGCACTGAATTGAGGTTAGAAAGATGTATATGTTAATTTCACCTGACAAAAGAAAGTGATATGTACGGGATATAAAAAAATTAAAGCCAAAATTTGTAATAAATCAAATAATTGTGGAGGATGGTTCCACTATGTATGGATAAATTAGGAAAATTTACAAACCTGAACTTGCTTTTGCGATTTGCCTGTGAAAAAGAACTACACTAACGTGTTGCCAACATTAAACGCGGCCTCACAAAAAAACACTAGAACCCTGTAATTTGCAGGCAGATAGGCAACTTATCTGTCACTGATCTGATCGAGCAGGAAATGATACTATAAAATGGGCCCCTCCAATTCTAATTTTCAATTGCAATATTTATATAGAATAAAGGATTTTGACTACCATACTTTCTCTTCTTCAATACAGGGGTAGAAACAATTACAACAAAAACGAAAATTAAATACAAAAATTCCAGAAAGAATTACATGTTATCAACAACTTTACACATAATACGATCTAAAATATAACACGGATCGCTTTTTCCATTATCTTGCAACAAACAATCTTTGCTCATTAGGTCGGCTTCTATTAATGTTTTAGAATCTACCTCCATCGCTTCGGGCAGACTTTGTAGTGCTTGCTGTAAAATTTCTTGAACTTTATCCAAATGCTTCTGAAATCTGTGAGCAGTTTCGATGCGTTGCCTTCTTTGCAAATCCATCATTACGCGTAATGTTTCCCTGGCCTGATGCGGCCTGAACTCGTTTAAAAGATGATGAATGTGAATAAACAGCAAACTTAAATCCTCCACCTTCTCGGCTCGGCGCGGTGAATCCGGACAGTGGACCAATAAGTCTAGTAAATCTAGGAAGTTTGCCAGTAGAGACTGATTGAGTTTTTTCAATTCGCGACGCCGATCGAAATGCATAGGATAAAGACGTTTGATACCCTAAAAGTGGAACATGCACTGGGTATAATTGAGAGATGCGTGAAATACCTGACTCTCGAGGGGACGAATGATGTTTTCTTCTGTATTAAACGCGTTCCCGAACATGTGGTACTGGTCGTGAATCGGTGGAGGAGGCCGAGGTGTACGTCCTCTTCTTAACATTTCGTCGGTATACTGATTTATATACTGCATTGGTGGTAGAGGTAATGAACTGACTTGAATTGGTTCTGAATTTGTTGCCATCTTTTAATGCAGGATGTTTTGAAAAATCTTACAAAAGTATATTGTGATAACCAAAAAACAACACAAACCTAACCTCATATAATAGTGGTTCCACATCCACACCCACAGACAACAAACACGAAAAACAATAAGAAAATTACCATAGAACAGATACTAATATACAGGGTATTACATCTAAAACGAAACCATTTTTAATGACAAAAATGTCATGTGGTTTTACTAAACCATTGTTTAAGTATTTAAACACTGACTAAACCTATAACAAACAGTAACCTTTTTGGTCAGATCCGTAGCCAAGGGGTGGCCAGACAAGATGTCGCTTCATCTTGTCCCCTTTGGAAGCTATGGTTAATTGTTTTAAAGGTTACTTTACAATATACAAAACACATGTAAATCTACTCGACCCACCACAATACGTACACATACAAATTACAATAATTAAGACTGTACAGAAAATCAAACAAGGAAACAAAGGTACTTACCTACTGTACACAAAAATTACAACCCTCACAGTAGACACAAAGTTGGTTTTTTTTTAAATTGTAATTTTTTAAGCAGAGAGGGTGCATCTAATACTTTTAGGTGCACTTCAAGGGTATGTAATTTTTTTGTTTTTCGGCCCAACAGGAAGTCGTACGAAATGTAAAAGCTTCAAATAGAAAAGGTTTGGAAGCAGACATTTTTTCTCTGATGTTACAGGCATGAGAATTTTATAAATCAACGGAGAGATTTGTTTGAATCTGGGGGCGCTAAAATTGTTGACAAGCTTTGCTTAATAGGCCATTTTTTAAGAATTTGTGCACCTTTAATTAAAAGGGTGATAAGTGTACGCTTCCAATAGGGGTTACGCAGGCTAGGATGTGTCATTCTTTTAGGTAACATTAGAAATATTTCCCATTTCATATTCAGATACTATGAGTGTTCATTCAAGGCTAAAGGTTAGCGACTGATAGGTGACGAAACAGTGCAATTAGAGTGGACTGTTATACCTAAAGCCGCATTTTAGATTTATTACTTCGTCGACGGTATCGAACGCTGCATCGCGGTTGTCTTTATTAATATTTTCAATTACTGAACCATTATTTCGGTGAGTACCTACCTTTCAATTCTTCTCTTATATCGGTGGAAAACAATTTCCTACTAACTTTTCATTCTGGAATCGTCAAAGGGGCATGGAAATTTCAAGAAGACGGTGGTTACCAAAGTTGACTGACATTTTTAAATACTTAAGGGTAGGAGTAAAATTAGTTTTCTATTCACTTATTTTTTAATAATATTATGACTTCTCTATTGGTTTCACCCTATCTGATCCTTAGTTTTTTTAGGATCTCCGAAAGTAGTTGAAATTTTCTCAGTTTCAAAACTGCATTTTGTAAAGCATCAATATACGCAACTTTGCCAAATTTAAACTACCTACCTACCTATCTCTTACAGTTTCGGAGATCTCCCCATGGTTCCTCGAGTTGCCCCGTTTATACCGTATTATTAATTTAAAATTTGTTTACTGGTTAATTAGTTTTGATCTATTGTTTAGCGTCATTGGGTTCACTATAGTATTACCTCATGAAACTTCTCTATTAGGTTAAAATTTGGTCCCCTTTCAAAAGTGACGTATCCGAGTTATTATATTTATTTAGGGGTTCAAAATTGAACTTTTATAATTTTCCATTAAAAAGAGCACCATATGTACTTACGTAATGAAATTATTCATAATTGGGTGTTGCACAAGCAAGAATTTTAATAACTTTAAGAAAGCGCGATAGTCCAGTAGAGTGAAATCGTTCGTTATGTCTGTGTGTTTGGAACCACGGCACGTCTAGAATTGGTACCGGTTTTTGAATTCTTTTTTCTGTCAGTAGATCTCCCTCGTAGATGAACAAAGTCAGAGAATCCGGACTCTAGGACACATTTGCGTATCACCTTAACCGTTTGTAACCGGATTTATCTTTTTAGCGGTTAGTACTTACCACCTGCATTCAATGACCGTGTTTCGTGAAGAAATTACTAATAATGTAACCGATCAAATCAAATAAGGAAACCATAAAAATCACAGCCCTCACGAATCTTTATTTAAATATATAATTTTTGAAAAGGGGTAGATTACTTTTATGTTCACTCCAAGTGAAATATTTCCACCTGCTTTAATTCTTGGCTTTAGGGATGATCTACACGTAAGAATTTACTTTTTAAACTTTCTATGTTTGAAGAACTCGTTCAGTCTTAAGCTTACGATTTTTCTCAAATGCAAAATTATTCCTCCTTAAACGTTAATCTCTTATACATATGTCAATTAAACGAACTGCAATGTATGTGTAATGTACATAGGTTACTGTATGTACCTAATACGCACAGATTGGTACATATAACCAATTTTTGAGCGCCAAACACAACCTTCTTTTTGATTCAATTTTGAAGTTTGCTGTTAATATACCTATATCATATTTACTATTTACTAGCTTATGCAATTTTTTAGTTTTTCGGCCCAATAAGAAGTCGAACAAAATGTAAAAGCGTACATATTTTCTTTTGCTTGAAATAGAAAAGGTTTGGAAGCAGACATTTTTTCTCTGATGTTAGGCATGAGAATTTTATAATTGAACGAAAAGACCTGGGAGCGTTAAAATTGTGGACAAGCTTTGCTTAATAAGCCATTTTTTAACAATTTGTGTACCTTTAATTAAAAGGGTTATATGTGTACACTTCAAATAGAGATTTTGCGGGCAAGGATGTGTCATTCTTTTAGGTAACATTAGAAATATTTCCTATTTCATATTCAGATACTATATGAGTGTTCATTCAAGGCTAAAGGTTAGCGACTGATAGGTGACGAAACAGTGCAATTAGAGTGGATTGTTATATCTAAAGCCGCATTACTTCGTCGACCGTGTCGAACGCTGCATCGCGGTTGTCTTTATTAATATTTTCAATTACTGAACCATTATTTCGGTGAGTATCTTTCAATTTTTCTCTTATATCGGTGGAAAACAATTTCCTACTAACTTTTCATTCTGGAATCATCTCAATCGTCTTAATTCCAACGATATAGAAGGTTGAGATTGAAATACGTTCGCTTTTTATCTAGGTATACAATTTGTTTTGGGAAACTGTGAAACGCAGCGCATCTATTTAACGACATATACGGGCTGTCCCTTTCCGAACTAAAATGTGCACCTCTTGATAAATCTTGTATCTACTAGAAAACTCAAAAGTCTATCGAATCTTCTTACATTTCATTATTACAATGCGAAATTGGGAGTTTGTTCAATGATTAGCAAAATATTACTTTGTTTCTGATATTCATCACTATTTCGTTTAAAAACTGAAATAAATTGCTAGTACTTACAATTATTAGCGAGTTCATAATTTTGCAATTCCTGTCGGTCTGTCCGTTAGCACGATATCTCGAAAACGAATGGACCGATTACGATGAAATTTTGCAGGCCGATTTTTTATCGTATCTGTAAATTGGAGTTCATGAATTGGCAATGTAGGCCAAAAAATAAGGAAGGCCCTTTTGACATCTCCGTTAGGTATGCACGGAATTGCATGGAACTCAAAATGAGCATAGTTTTAGCCATGCACGCAATTCCAATGGCGAGTCTAATACAACGCGCTCTAGCTCAGAGAGAATTGTTAAGCTGTATTCGTTGGAATGATGTCACGGTGCATAGGTACCTTGCTCAATGAGTGGACCACGTGGCTCAGGAAAGTGGCAGGTTCTGCTTAAGTATATTTTTGATGAAATGTCTCGTAGGTTCAAGATCTTCCTTGTAATCTACAGTTAGCGAAGAAAAAATGTCCAGCTCACTTGGAGAGTCCTGGAATGGAATGGATACCGTTTTAGCATTTTTTGACCATTACAATATTAATCGAGGACATTTCTTGAAATCCATTCGGACGCGGAATTCAATAATCGTGAGGTTATGGAAAACGTTTTTTTGAGAAAAGTTTCTTGTGCAAATTACTGATTCTAGTTGTGAGTCCTTGGTGATTTGTGCCCTTTCGCACTCAACGGATCCTTAAGCAATTTCAATGGAACATACATACACACCTTACAGTACCCACCTAGCGGACCAAACACGAGGAGACCAAAGAAATGGTAATAAAATAATATTGCCTTATCGGAGTTTAAACTTTTCACTTTTTTCCAGTTATTTCTCTCAACCCCTACGCAATGGGTCCACTACAAAGAGATTGAATATTTGGTGTTCCTTGGATAGTGTGTCATCAACTTTACTACATGTGGCAGTGGGACCATCTTAGTTGAAACTTGAACGGTAAGGTAGGTACACATTTTTGTACATGTGTTACATTAGAGCGGTAATGAACACTTTATGAACCGCAAATTAACATTGCTGTTTTTTATTTTCCAACTTTCTTCTTAAATGAAACTCGGAAAATATAAATTACCACCTGCTCTCTTAAAAACGCGTATCTGTCCTATAGTATTTGCATGAGGATTAATTATTGTGTTAAATCTATCGAAACAAGCATGAAAGATTTGGCCAAAGTGGCATGGAAATTTCAAGAAGAAGGCGTTGGTTACCAAAGTTCACTGAAATTTTTAATTACTTCCGTTAAACTTTTAAAGCGATTTTTCTAAAAAAAAATTTTTTTAATAGAAACAGCATTTTCTATTTTCTTCTAAATGCGTTAGTTCATTCTGAATTGAACGCAATTAAAATTTAAGTACCTATCTATCTGTTATAGTTTTTAACATATGTCAATTTTTATCGAAAAATTTGAAGATGCATGGGTCCATTCAGAAATTCATATCTCTTAAAACCGTTTAACAGAAGTGATCGTCCTATTTAATACTGAAATCCTTAAAGTCTAATATAAGGAATTTTTTGAGTGGCCGCCTAAAGTCTTGAAAAAGTTTCCCGGCTGCTGCGATTTTTCAAAGTTATCAATCAAAAAATGGCAAAACTTTAGTTTTTCAAATTGCAAGTTGCAACTACTATTTCTGCTGCCAGAAATGAATGTAGGTATAGGTAAATTTTAGGGCCACTTTTATTAGCATTCTGTATGCCTATATCGGGTAGTTATTGAGTTATTAGTTTAAGAGATACGAATTTTTGAATTAACCCTTGCATTTTCAAATTGTCAGAGAAAAGTTGACATTATGCTATATTTATCGATATTTCGTGATAGAGTTAAACGCCGCCTGGCATACTTTCAAAATGTATATGCTATATAATACAAGAAGAATCCCCTAAGAGAAATTCTCCGAAATTTTGCATTTTCTACGGCGGCTGTTAAAAAGAGTATTGCTCACACGAACGAGCGGTCGGAAAATAATAAAACTATAAAGGATCACTACAAAAAATCCATAAAAGTGATCCCTGACCATGGCTTAGTTCGGGTGCGAGTCCGGCTTTTACCAACCAAGTCCGGGTCCGGCTTTTACCCACCTAGTCAGGGTCCGGGTCCAGGTTTTACCCACACCGTTAGCTGCAATGACGTTTTAGAAACTGAAATATCCCCATTTTGACAATGAGGACGTTTCTACTTCTTTTTAATATCACCTGAATCATGATTTATAAAATGTCAGAATCGTTATTGATATTCAAAAGTGAATTTTCCACTTCCATGTGCACATTGGCCACGAATTTCGGTGGATTTTTAAAAATATGCTTTTTAGTGTGTTTTAGAGATATTGAAAATGTATTTAGCAATCAAACTTTTACCAGTGAATCGATGCGACAATTAAGTAACGATATACAATACACCATTCTACCCTACCGTACATTTTCACGATAAGGCATAATAAAGTAGTCGACTGATCCAGAAAATTCCCCCTATTTAGCTACGCGCCTAATAAAATATCTGCCGCAGTGCCCATCCGTAAAGCCGCTAACGTTCTTGTAAATATGTATTTCGTAAAAATTATCAGGGGTTTGTCTACCTATTGCTGAAAACAGAATTGGAAAATTCGAAACCGTTCGCGAGTTATCATGTACACAGACGGGCGGACAGAAAGTGAAAAATTAACGAACGAGTTTTGTCGCTTGTTAATAATGTGCATTTTTTAATGCGTGCGGTAGAAGGAAACAATATTTTGTTTATAAAATTGTAGTTCAGGTAATCAAACATTACTCCTTAGTATTTGCAGGTATGATTAATAGCAATACGTAACAGTCCAGTCCGGTTGACCCTCAATTATGTTATCTATTGTAGGTAATATTACAATTCCACGTTAGTTGTTAATAGGATACGAAAGTGTGTGCATCTACAAGTGCCCTCCATTTTCTAGAAAGAGCTTGAGTACAGGTGAGATTTTTAATTATTCATAAATTAGGTACCTACTAATCAGATGTAACTCCAAATTAACTATTAAACTGTTCAACTCTGGTTTAATATCGTAATTTTCTGGAAACTCTGCAACTATTTAAGGGTAGTTAAAAGGGAAATTTGGAAAACAACTGGATACATTTCGGGTACAGATTTTTTTTCATGTTAATCCGAAATTTATGGCCGTATTTGTCGTAAAAATGTATGTAAAACTTAACATTCGGCAAAATGTTAGAATAATGCTTTTTGGCGACATATCGCCTTTGAAAATTCAAACGGTCACCAACATAAAAAATAATTTAGGAGGAAACTATTTCCAATTTTGCCTTAGGTAAATTTTCTCCGGGCCTACTTTTTAAATATTGATACCTCAATTTGAAGTTCTGACTAATGACAATTATATAAGCACTCAGATGATTTATATGTACCTATACCTATACAGTATAAGGGCGTATGCACTTCCAAAGAAGTACTTACTACACAAAAACTAAAGGCGGGATGCATAGGAAACAATTTTGATTTTGAACTGTTTACTAAGAAACAATTTCCGAACTAAAATTGCTCTTTTCGACTTCGCAGGTATGAATACTTACTGTAATTTAACCCTGATATCAGTGTAATGTTACAATTTTCACGTTGGTTGTTTGATTTTTATGAAAAATATCAATCTATATAATACAAGTGCCTTCGTGTTCTCTAGAAATTACTGGGTGAGATTTTTAATTATCTATGTCCTAGGTACTACAATTATAATAGGTAAACCCCAGGGTAAACCTTAAACTTAATATTGCACCCCCCATTTTATTTTTAATTTGTCAGTCGAATATGTTGTTCCAGTTAATTAATGGTTGTATTTGAAAACATTTAAACGACAACACTAAAGGAAGAAACATTTTAAAAGGTGAGGATTGCAGTGATACCTGGAAAGAGAAGATTCCTGGGGGTATTTTGAGTATAGGTGGAAACGAGTATTTGTGAGGGAGAAGTACTTATTTAGGAAATGCAACTAAAAAAATACTCTGAACTTACTGATCGATTCATTTCCTGCCCTTTTGGTGTAGAGACATTTGGAGCTTGGGGTCCGTCCGCTAAGTCATTTATTAAGGATACATGACGGAAAATTTTTGAGAAATCTAAACAGAGTCGTTCAACTGAATTTCTTAAACAACGTCTAAGTCTGGAAATTTAGTGAATGCATAGAGGTATTGTATTTCTTCTATGGCGAAAGGTAATGCGATATCTGTTCTGGCAACAATTCCATACCAAAAATGTTTTAACGAAGTTTTTTATATTTTACATTGAATTTCTTTCATTTTGTTAATCTTGCATTTAATTGTTATATTCTAGATAAATACTTAAATAATGAGGTGCAGCTGGTTCACAATGGTCGATTTATTAAAGTAGCCAGTAGCATTGCATTTATAACTATCATAAATTCAATGCCAGTAGGTACGTTTAGCAAGTCTTATGTCGTTATAAAGGGAAACATTATTTGTCCTAGTGAACACTTCACTAGATGTAGTTTCCTCATTGAAGATAATTCCTTTTTCTTTGCAAGTTTCTTTCTCTTGACATCTCCGTTAGTTATAAACCGAATTGCATGGAACTCAAAATGAGCATAGTTTTATCCATGGACGGTAGTCAAATAGCCATAGTCCAGTACAACGAGCTCTTGCTCAGAGTGAATGTATTCGTTGGAATGATAATAATAATAATAATAATAATCTTTAATTCTAAAAATTGTAAATAACAATTACAGAAACGTCAAATCACAAACAAAACATGTATGGACAACAGAAAATATGTGGACTAACAATTCAGGTGCATCCAGTCATTAGGTTTTTATTACCTAGAGATATATAATCAACAAATTCATTTACTGAATAGAAAGAATTATTTTGTAATATCTGTTTCGTTCTATTTTTGAAAAGGGAGTGGTTCATTTTTTTTAGAGTTTCAGGCAGATTATTAAATAATACTAAACCGGTGTAAAACGGAGATTTTTTATAAAATGAATGTTGGTGTTTTGGAATCAAGATTTTATTTTTACCTCTGGTGTTGTGATCGTGAATTTGACTTATTTTGTTAAATTTGTGTTGGTTTTTATGAAGATAAATAAGTAATTTAAAGATATATATACAAGGCAGTGGCATTATTTTATGATTTTTGAAAGTGTCCCGACATGTTTGAGCGTAATTAAGATTGTACATCAATCGTATTATACGTTTCTGTAATATAAATACTCTGTGAGTATGTGTACTTGCTCCCCAACATGTAATGTTATAGCTTAAATAAGGATACACAACCGCGTAGTAAACTTTAAGTAATGTTGGAACGATGGCCCGGTACACAGGTACCTTGCTCAATGAGTGGACCACGTGGCTAAGGAAAGTCGCATGTTCTGCTTAAGTATATTTTTGATGAAATTTCTCGTAAGTTCCAGATCTTCCTTGTAATCTACAGTTGGCGAAGAAAAAATGTCCAAGCCACTGGGAGAGTCCTGGAATGGATGCCGTTTTGGCGTTTTTTGACCACTACAATATTAATCGAGAACATTTCTTGAAATCCATTCGGACGGGGAATTCAATAATCGTGAGGTTATGGAAAACGTTTTTTTGAGAAAAGTTTCTTGTGCAAATGGAGACACCAATTGTTGTGAGTGCCTGGTCATTTGTGCCTCTTCGAACTCAACGGATCCTTAAGTAATTTCAATGGGACATACACTCACACATTACAGTACCCACCTAACGGACCAAACACTTGGAGACCAAAGAAATGGTAATAAAATAATATTGCCTTATTGGAGTTTAAACTTTTCACTTTTTTCAAGTTATTTCTCTCAACCCCTACGCAATCGGTCCACAACAAAGGGATTGATTATTGGGTGTCCCTTGGATGGTGTGTCATCAGCTTATTACATGTGGGAAACTTGAACGGTAAGGTAGGTGTACACATTTTTGTACATGTGTTGCATTTGAGCGGTAATGAACACTTTATGAACGGTGAATTAATATTGCTGTTTTTTATTTTCCAACTTTCTTCTGAATTGAAACTCGGAAAATATAAAATTACCACCTGTTCTCTTAAAAACGCGTATCTGTCCTTAGTATTTGTATGAGGATTAGTTATTGTGATAAATCCATGGCAACAAGCATAAAAGATTTAGACAAAGTGGCATGGAAATTTCAAGAAGAAGGCGTTGGTTACCAAAGTTGACTGAAATTTTTAATTACTTAAGGGTAGGAGTAAAATTAGTTTTCTATTTATTTATTTTTTTAATAATGATATCACTTCTCTATTGGTTTCACACTATCTGATCCTTAATTTTGTTTAGGATATATTCGAAAGGAGTTGACATTTTTTCAGTTTCAAAACGGCATTTTGTAAAGCATCAAAATACGCAACTTTGCCAAATTTAAACTAACTACCTACCTACCTATCGCACAGTTTCCGAGATTTCCCCATGGTGGCCCTCGAGTTGCTCCTTTATCCCGTATTATTAATACGTTTGATACGCAACTTGGAAATCGAATCAAGTGAAGTACCCCGACCTTGGTTGCCTATGCTACAGGGTTTACCTATTCGGCGATCATTACTTTTCTCTATTACTGTACCTACAAACTAGTGTACATTTACATAGGGATGTGTTATACGAAACAGATACGGTTTATGCGGTATACATTACATTTTTACTATAAGTTCGTGCGTATTATGATTATTTTTTTGAAAAGTGGGGGGGCTCTCCTGTCGTCCTCAAATGGTGCCCTGTTGCTGCTTAGTCTTATTCAGAAATTTAGTTACTCAGTTGTGATTTTGTAGTTTCATAAGATGCAAGTAATTATTTTTTGGGCATAATTGAGGGACCGACTTTTCAGGGACGAATTTTCTAAATATTTTGGATTGTTTTCGTCAAGGTTTCCAATTTTTATCGTCAAATTATCCAAATGCAAATGAAGTGACAAAATATTCAACAAAATTATAATTTGGATATCTTGTCGGTGGCGCGACAAGATTTCAAAATTTTGTAGAGAAAAACTCCAAATTTTTGCACGACATATCCAAAAAGTTCGGAAAGTTTTTAACAAGATATCCTATTTTCGAATAAATGTGCGCAGCTTGAACCTTCATAAAAATTTTACCTAAATTCACCATGAAACCTTCAGTTTCATGCCTACTTTATGTCAGGAAATTTTAGTTTCCGTCGTTTTATTTGGATTTGGCTATACAAATTAGAAATTTTGACGAAAACAATCCAAAACATTTGGAAAATTTGTCCCTGGGGAAACACCCTTTGGATTTTTTGTTGGTCTCCATAATTTACTGAAAATATCAATTGAATGTAATGGATACACCGTCGAGATTTATCACACCTAGTGTGGCGTTAAAATTTATAAGGGGATGTTGAACTTACAGTTACTTAGGAATGGAGAAGTTTCCATTTCTTGTTGTTATACCAAGTAAATAAAAACGTTCGGTATGTCTGTGTGTTTGGAACCACGGCACGTCTACTATGGATACAGGTTTTTGAATTCTTTTTTCTGTAAGTAGATCTCCCTCGTAGATGAACGAAGTCCGAAAATCCGGACTCTCGGACACATTTGCCTATCACTTTACCATAGTGTACTTACATGTAACCATTTTTAACCGGATTTTTTTGCGGTACTTGCCACCTACATTCAATAACCATGTTTCGTGAAGAAATTACTAATAATGTAACCGATCAAATCAAATAAGGAAACCATAAAAATCACAGTCCTCACGAATCTTTATTTAATTACATAATTTTTGAAAAGAGGATGAGATTACTTTTATGTTCACCCAAAGTGAAATATTTCCACCAGCTTTAATTCTTGGTTTTAGGGATGATCTACACGTAAGAACTTTCTTTTTAACCTTTCTATATTTGAAGAACTCGTTCAGTCTAAGCTTACGATTTTTCTCAAATGCAAAATTATGCCTCCTTAAACGTTAATCTCTTATAAGTACAGTTACGCACTGCAATATATGTGTAATGTACGTAGGTTACTGTATGTACATAATACGCACAGTTTGGTACATAACCAATTTTTGAGCGCCAAACACAACCTTCTTTTTGATTCAATTTTGAAGTTTGCTGTTAATGATCCTATAGAAGAAAATATCATATTTACTATTTACTAGCTTATGTAATTTTTTAGTTTTTCAGCCCAACAAGAAGTCGAACGAAATGTAAAAGCGTACATATTTTCTTTTGCTTGAAATAGAAAAGGTTTGGAAGCAGACATTTGTTCTCTGATGTTAGGCATGAGAATTTTATAATTGAACGAAGAGACCTGGGGGCGTTAAAATTGTGGACAAGCTTTGCTTAATAGGCTATTTTTTAAGAATTTGTGCAACTTTAATTAAAAAGGGTGATATGTGTACGCTTCAAGTAGGGATTACGCAGGCAAGGATGTGTCATTCTTTTAGGTAACATTAGAAATATTTCCCATTTCATATTCATTCAAGGCTAAAGGTTAGCGACTGATAGGTGACGAAACAGTGCAATTAGAGTGGACTGTTATACCTAAAGCCGCATTTTAGATTTATTACTTGGTCGACCGTATCGAACGCTGCATCGCGGTTGTCTTTATTAATATTTTCAATTACTGAACCATTATTTCGGTGAGTACCTTTCAAATCTTCTCTTATATCAGTGGAAAACAATTTCCTACTAACTTTTCATTCTGGAATCGTCTCAATGGTCTTAATTCCAACGAAATAGAAGGTTAGGTTAGAATTATTAGCGAGCTCCTAGAGCGTTCATAACTTTGCAATGTCTGTCCGTCTGTCGGTTAGCACGATATCTCGAAAACGAAAGGACCGATTACGATGAAATTTTGCAGGTGGATTCTTTATCATATCTGGAGATCGGAGTTTAAGGATTTAATGGTAAAATGTATGTATAACGGGATAACGACATTATGAGGTCGGCATTTTAATCTCTTCGATTACACAGTATTATGAAGACTCTGATTGAGACAGGCGAGTGCAATACGACGAGCTCTCGCTCAGGGTGAATTGCGAAGTTGTATTCGTTGGAATGTTGGAATGATGGCACGCTGCATACCTTGCTGAATGAGTGGACCACGTGGCTAAGGAAAGTCGCAGGTTCTGCCTAAGTATATTTTTGATTAAATTTCTCGTAGGTTCAAGATCTTCCTTGTAATCTACAGCTTCTTGTGCAAATGGAAACAATTACTGATTTTACTTGTGAGTGCCTGGTGATTTGTACCCCTTCGCACTCAACTCAATTTCAATGGGATATACACTCACACGTTACAGTACAGTACCCACCTAACGGACCCCTTTTCCTTGAGCTAATGAAGTCCAAACACGAGGAGACCAAAGAAATGGTAATAAAATAATATTGCCTTATCGGAGTTTAAACTTTTCACTTTTTTCAAGTTATTTCTCTCAACCCCTACGCAATCGGTCCACTACAAAGGGATTGAATATTGGGTGTCCCTTGGAAGGTGTGTCATCAACTTTACTACATGTGGCAGTGGGACCATCTCAGTTGAAACTTGAACGGTAAGGTAGGTACACATTCTTGTACATGTGTTACTTTAGAGCGGTAATGATCACTTTATGAACGGCGAATTAACATTGCTGTTTTTTATTTTCCAACTTCCTTCCTAAATGAAACTCAGAAAATATAAAATTGCCACTTGCTCTCTTAAAAACGCGTGTAGTAAGTATTTGTATGAGTATTCATTATTGTGTTACCGTTAAATCTATTCCAACAAACATAAAAGATTGAGCCAAAGCGGCATGGAAATCTCAAGAAGACGTTGGTTACTAAAGTTGACTAACATTTTTTACATTAAACGCACTGCAATGTATGTGTAATGTACGTAGGTATGCCCCTAATACGTACAGTTTGGTACATATAACCAATTTTTGAGCGCCAAACACAACCTTCTTTTTGATACAATTTTGAAGTTTGCTGTTAATGATCCATTAGAAGAAGATATCATATTTACTATTTACTAGCTTATGTAATTTTTTTGTTTTTCGGCCCAACAAGAAGGCGTACGAAATGTAAAAGCGAATTTCTTTTGTTTGAAATAGAAGCAGACATTTTTTCTCTGATATTAGGCATGAGAATTTTATAATTGAACGAAGAGATCTGGGGGCGTTAAAATTGTTGACAAGCTTTGCTTAGTAGGCCATTTTTTTAAGAATTTGTGCACCTTTAATTAAAGGGGTGATAAATGTACGCTTCAAATAAGCATTACGCAGGCAAGGATGGGACCGACAAGAAATCCAAATTCCAACTTTTTAGGGACAAATTATCCAAATAATTTGGATTGTTTTCGTCAAGATATCCAATTTTCGAATAGATAAAGGTACGCCGCTTTTTCGTGTTTTTGATCATTACCTATACGTTTTTAACAGCAGTTGTTTTCAGCTATATCCTTAGACCATACAGTGCAGGTCTGGCTATATCTTATAGGACTCTTATAGGAGCTGCACCAAAGATGTTTATTTCGTTGTTGTTCATTTTGCTGCTATCCTATAACTCATTTATTACTAGGTAGGCATTAATTCTTTGTCGCTGTATGAAAACATACTAAATGCTATGGCGTGCTTTAACACTAAAACTGAAATGTTTCGTACTGCACAAGGTTCATACGTGATTAAAGGGCTTGAATAAAATTTGGATATCTTGTCAACAAATTTCCGAACTTTTTGGATATTTTGTCCAAAAAATTTGGATTTCTTGTCTAAAAAAAATTCGATATTTGGATATCTTGTCGCGCCACCGACAAGATATCCAAATCGGAGTTTCCAAATTGGTTGGATATTTTGTCGCTTTATTTGGATCTAGATAATTTGTCCCTAAAAAGTTGGAATTTGGCTTTCTTGTCGGTCCCGGCAAGGATGTGTCCATTCTTTTAGGTATAACATTAGAAATATTTCCCATTTCATATTCAGATACTATGAGTGTTCATTCAAGGCTAAAGGTTAGCGACTGATAGGTGACGAAACAGTGCAATTAGAGTGGACTGTTATACCTAAAGCCGCATTACTTCGTCGACCGTGTCGAACGCTGCATCGCGGTTGTCTTTATTAATATTTTCAATTACTGAACTATTATTTCGGTGAGTATCTTTCAATTCTTCTCTTATATCGGTGGAAAACAATTTCCTACTAACTTTTCATTCTGGAATCATCTCAATCGTCTTAATTCCAACGATATAGAAGGTTGAGATTGAAATACGTTCGCTTTTTATCTAGGTATACAATTTGTTTTGGGAAACTGTGAAACGCAGCGCATCTATTTAACGACATATACGGGCTCTCCCTTTCCGAACTAAAATGTGCACCTCTTGATAAATCTTGTATCTACTAGAAAACTCAAAAGTCTATCGAACTCAATTCTTAGCAAAATATTACTTTGTTTCTGATATTCATCACTATTTCGTTTAAAAACTGAAATAAATTGCTAGTACTTACAATTATTAGCGAGTTCATAATTTTGCAATTCCTGTCGGTCTGTCCGTTAGCACGATATCTCGAAAACGAATGGACCGATTACGATGAAATTTTGCAGGCCGATTTTTTATCGTATCTGTAAATTGGAGTTCATGAATTGGCAATGTAGGCCAAAAAATAAGGAAGGCCCTTTTGACATCTCCGTTAGGTATGCACGGAATTGCATGGAACTCAAAATGAGCATAGTTTTAGCCATGGACGCAATTCCAATGGCGAGTCTAATACAACGCGCTCTAGCTCAGAGAGAATTGTGAAGCTGTATTCGTTGGAATGTTGGAATGATGTCACGGTGCATAGGTACCTTGCTGAATGAGTGGACCACGTGGCTAAGGAAAGTGGCAGGTTCTGCTTAAGTATATTTTTGATGAAATGTCTCGCAGGTTCAAGATCTTCCTTGTAATCTACAGTTAGCGAAGAAAAAATGTCCAGCTCACTTGGAGAGTCCTGGAATGGAATGGATACCGTTTTAGCATTTTTTGACCATTACAATATTGATCGAGGACATTTCTTGAAATCCATTCGGACGGGGAATTCAATAATCGTGAGGTTATGGAAAACGTTTTTTTGAGAAAAGTTTCTTGTGATTCTAGTTGTGAGTCCTTGGTGATTTGTGCCCTTTCACACTCAACGGATCCTTAAGCAATTTCAATGGGACATACATACACACCTTACAGTACCAAAGCGGACCAAACACGAGGAGACCAAAGAAATGGTAATAAAATAATTGCCTTATCGGAGTTTAAACTTTTCACTTTTTTCAAGTTATTTCTCTCAACCCCTACGCAATGGGTCCACTACAAAGAGGTTGAATATTTGGTGTCCCTTGGATAGTGTGTCATCAACTCTACTACATGTAGCAGTGGCAGTAATGAACACTTTATGAACCGCAAATTAACATTGCTGTTTTTTATTTTCCAACTTTCTTCTTGAATGAAACTCGGAAAATATAAAATTAGCACCTGCTCTCTTAAAAACGCGTATCTGTCCATTATAGTATTTGCATGAGGATTAATTATTGTGTTAAATCTATCGAAACAAGCATGAAAGATTTGGCCAAAGTGGCATGGAAATTTCAAGAAGAAGGCGTTGGTTACCAAAGTTGACTGAAATTTTTAATTACTTCCGTTAAACTTTTAAAGCGATTTTTCTAAAAAAAAATTTTTTTAATAGAAACAGCATTTTCTATTTTCTTCTAAATGCGTTAGTTCATTCTGAATTGATCGCAATTAAAATTTAAGTACCTACCTATCTGTTATAGTTTTTAACATATGTCAATTTTTATCGAAAAATTTGAAGATGCATGGGTCCATTCAGAAATTCATATCTCTTAAAACCGTTTAACAGAAGTGATCGTCCTATTTAATACTGAATTCCTTAAAGTCTAATATATGGAATTTTTCGAGTGGCCGCCGAAAGTCTTGAAAAAGTTTCCCGAGCTGCTGCGATTTTTCAAAGTTATCAATAAAAAAATGGCAAAACTTTAGTTTTTCAACCGAGGCACGTGGCGCAGTGGATGCGCTCACCGATGCTATTCGGAAGGTTGTGGGTTCGAATCCCGCTGCCGACTGCTCTGTCTGGGGGTTTTCCTCAGACATACGTAGCTTCGCATAATGCTAGCATTATGTTGAAATCTACGAGGCGAATGCTGGAGCAGTACTCTCCCCCTCAGCACCCTAACTCCGTTCCTTCCGTTCCCATCCCTAACTTTACCCATCCTTACAATCCCGTTCTCTGGCTGAATGACGGGCCAGGAAGCCCTGAGCCACTTTTATTATCATTCTGTAGCCTATATCGGGTAGTTATTGAGTTATTAGTTTAAGAGATACGAATTTTTGAATGAACCCTTGCTCCGTTGACATTATCCCTGTAGTCAGGGGTGCCGGAGTTAAAAAGAGTATTGAAACGACGGTATGGCCTTTTCCTTTTTTTTTATACCAACCAAGTCCGGGTCCTGGTCCGGGTCCGGCTTTTACCCACACCGTTAACTGCAATGACGTTTTAGAAACTGAAATATGATCCCATTTTGACAATGAGGACGTTTCTACTTCTTTTTAATATCACCTGAATCATGATTTATAAAATGTCAGAATCGTTATTGATATTCAAAAGTGAATTTTCCACTTCCATGTGCACATTGGCCACGAATTTCGGTGGATTTTTAAAAATATGCTTTTTAGTGTGTTTTAAAGATATTGAAAATGTATTTAGTAATCAAACTTTTACCAGTGAATCGATGCTGCAATTAAGTAACAATATACAATACACCACTCTACCCTACCGTACATTTTCACGATAAGGCATAATAAAGTAGTCGACTGACCCAGAAAATTCCCCCTATTTAGCTACGCGCCTAATAAAATATCTGCCGCAGTGCCCATCCGTAAAGCCGCTAACGTTCTTCTAAATATGTATTTCGTAAAAATTATCAGGGGTTTGTCTACCTATTGCTGAAAACAGAATTGGAAAATTGGAAACCGTTCGCGAGTTATCATGTACACAGACGGGCGGACAGAAAGTCAAAAATTAACGAACGAGTTTTGTCGCTTGTTAATAATGTGCATTTTTTAATGCGTGCGGTAGAAGGAAACAATATTTTGTTTATAAAATTGTACTTCAGGTAATCAAACTTTACTCCTTAGTATTTGCAGGTATGATTAATAGCAATACGTAACAGTCCCGTCCGGTCCCGACCTTCAATTATGTTATCTATTGTAGGTAATATTACAATTCCACGTTAGTTGTTAGAAGGATACGAAAGTGTGTGCATCTACAAGTGTCCTCTATTTTCTAGAAAGAGCTTGAGTATAGGTGAGATGTTTAATTATTCATAAATTAGGTACTTACTAATCAGATGTAACTCCAAATTAACTATTAAACTGTTCAACTCTGGTTTAATATCGTAATTTTCTGGAAACTCTGCAACTATTTAAGGGTAGTTAAAAGGGAAATTTGGAAAACAACTGGATACATCCCGGGTACAGATTTTTGTGCATGTTAATCCGAAATTTATGGCCGTATTTGTCGTAAAAAAGTATGTAAAACTTAACTTTCGGCAAAATGTTAGAATATAATGCTTTTTGGCGACATATCGGCTTTGAAAATTCAAACGGTCACCAACATAAAAAATAATTTAGGAGGAAACTATTTCCAATTTTGCCTTAGGTAAATTTCCTCCGGGCCTACTTTTTAAATATTGATACCTCAATTTGAAGTTCTGACTAATGACAATTATATAATTACTCAGATGATTTATATGTACCTATACCTATACAGTATAAGGGGGTATGCACTTCCCAAGAAGTACTTTGATTTTGAACTGTTTACTAAGAAACAATTTCCGAACTAAAATTGCTCTTTTGGGCTTCGCAGGTATGAATACTGGAATTTAACCCTGAACTCTTTATCAGTGTAATGTTACAATTTTCACGTTGGTTGTTTGATTTTTATGAAAGAGTGAATATCTAATCTATATAATACTAGTGCCTTCGTGTTCTCTAGAAATTGATGGGTGAGATTTTATTTATCCATGTCCTAGGTACTACAATTATAATAGGTAAACCCCAGGGTAAACCTCAAACTTAATATTGCACCCCCAATTTATTTTTAATTTGTCAGTCGAATATGTTGTTCCAATTAATTAATGGTTGTATTTGAAAACATTTAAACGACAACACTAAAGGGAGAAACATTTTAAGAGGTAGGATTGCAATGATACCTGAAAAGAGAAGATTCCTGGGGGTATTTCGGGTATAGGGGGAAACGAGTATCTGCAGTGAGGGAGAAGTACTTATTTAGGAAATGGAACTAAAAAAATACTCTGAACTTACTGATCGATTCATTTCCTGCCCTTTCGGTGTAGAGACATTTGGAGCCTGGGGTCCGTCAGCTAAGTCATTTTTTAAGGATACATGACGGAAAATTTTTGAGAAATCTAAACAGGGTCGTTCAACTGAATTTCTTAAACGACGTATAAGTCTGGAAATTCAGTGAAAGCGTAGAGGTATTGTATTTCCTTTATGGCGAAAGGTAATGCGATATCTGATCTAGCAACAATTCCATACCAAAAATGTTTTAACGAAGTTTTTTATATTTTACATTGAATTGCTTTTATTTTGTTAATCTTGCATTTAATTGTTATAATCTAGTTAAATACTAAAATAATGAGGTGCAGCTGATTCACAATGGTCGATTTATTAAAGTAGCCAGTAGCATTGCATTTATAACTATCATAAATTCAATGCCAGTAGGTACGTTTAGCAAGTTATATATCGTTATAAAGGAAAAAATTTGTCCTAGTGAAAATGATTCAACCTGGGAGCTAAATGAATGAAAATGGAAATAAAAAGTAGAATGGTGTTCCTGTTCCCCTTCGAACTCAACGGATCCTTAAGCAATTTCAATGGGACATACACTCACACATTACAGTACCCACCTAGCGGACCAAACACGTGGAGACCAAAGAAATGGTAATAAAATAATATTGCCTTATTGGAGTTTAAACTTTTCACTTTTTTCAAGTTCTTTCTCTCAACCCCTACGCAATCGGTCCACTACAAAGGGATTGAATATTGGGTGTTCCTTGGATGGTGTATCATCAGCTTATTACATGTGGGGCCATCTTATTTAAAACTTGAACGGTAAGGTAGGTGCACATTTTTGTACATGTGTTACATTAGAGCGGTAATGAACACTTTATGAACGGTGAATTAACATTTCTGTTTTTTATTTTCCAACTTTCTTCTTAATTGAAACTCGGAAAATATAAAATTAGCACCTGCTCTCTTAAAAACGCGTATCTGTCCTTAGTATTTGTATGAGGATAAATTATTGTGATAAATCTATGGCAACAGGCATGAAAGATTTGGCCAAAGTGACATGGAAATTTCAAGAAGAAGGTGTTGTTTACCAAATTTGACTGAAATTTTTAATTACTTAAGGGTAGGAGTAAAATTAGTTTTCTATTTATTTATTTTTTAATGTTATCACTTCTCTATTGGTTTCACACTATCTGATCCTTAATTTTGTTTAGGATATATCCGAAAGTAGTTGACATTTTTTCAGTTTCAAAACGGCATTTTGTAAAGCATCAAAATACGCAACTTTGCCAAATTTAAACTAACTACCTACCTACCTATCGCACAGTTTCCGAGATTTCCCCATGGTGGCCCTCGAGTTGCTCCTTTATCCCGTATTATTAATACGTTTGATACGCAACTTGGAAATCGAATCAAGTGAAGTACCCCGACCTTGGTTGCCTATGCTACAGGGTTTACCTATTCGGCGATCATTACTTTTCTCTATTACTGTACCTACAAACTAGTGTACATTTACATAGGGATGTGTTATACTAAACAGATACGGTTTATGCGGTATACATTACATTTTTACTATAAGTTCGTGCGTATTATGATTATTTTTTTGAAAAGTGGGGGGGCTCTCCTGTCGTCCTCAAATGGTGCCCTGTTGCTGCTTAGTCTTGTTCAGAAATTTAGTTACTCAGTTGTGATTTTGTAGTTTCATAAGATGCAAGTAATTATTTTTTTGGGCATAATTGAGGGATCGACTTTTCAGGGACAAATTTTCTAAAATCGTCAAATTATCCAAATAAATCCAAATGAAGTGACAAAATATTCAACAAAATTGGGATTTGGATATCTTGTCGGTGGCGCGACAAGATTTCAAAATTGTTTAGAGAAAAACTCCAAATTTTTGCACGACATATCCAAAAAGTTCGGAAAGTTTTTAACAAGATATCCTATTTTCGAATAAATGTGCGCAGCTTGAACCTTCATAAAAATTTTACCTAAATTCACCATGAAACCTTCAGTTTCATGCCTACTTTATGTCAGGAAATTTTAGTTTCCGTCGTTTTATTTGGATTTGGCTATACAAATTGGATATTTTGACGAAAACAATCCAAAACATTTGAAAAAATTTGTCCCTGGGGAAACACCCTTCGGATTTTTTGTTGGTCTCCATAATTTAGTGAAAATATCAATTGAATGTAATGGATACACCGTCGAGATTTATCACACCTAGTGTGGCGTTAAAATTTATAAGGGGATGTTGCACTTACAGTTACTTAGGAATGGAGAAGTTTCCATTTCTTGTTGTTAAATTAATTATATAATTTTTGAAAAGGGGATGAGATTACTTCTTTGTTCACCCAAAGTGAAATATTTCCACCAGCTTTAATTCTCGGTTTTAGGGATGATCTACACGTAAGAACTTACTTTTTAACCTTTCTTTATTTGAAGAACTCGTTCAGTCTAAGCTTACGATTTTTCTCAAATGCAAAATTATGCCTCCTTAAACGTTAATCTCTTATAAGTACAGTTACGCACTGCAATGTATGTGTAATGTACGTAGGTTACTGTATGTACATAATAGGCACAGTTTGGTACATAACCAATTTTTGAGCGCCAAACACAACCTTCTTTTTGATTCAATTTTGAAGTTTGCTGTTAATGATCCTATAGAAGAAAATATCATATTTACTATTTACTAGCTTATGTAATTTTTTAGTTTTTCAGCCCAACAAGAAGTCGAACGAAATGTAAAAGCGTACATATTTTCTTTTGCTTGAAATAGAAAAGGTTTGGAAGCAGACATTTGTTCTCTGATGTTAGGCATGAGAATTTTATAATTGAACGAAGAGACCTGGGGGCGTTAAAATTGTGGACAAGCTTTGCTTAATAGGCCATTTTTTAAGAATTTGTGCAACTTTAATTAAAAAGGGTGATATGTGTACGCTTCAAGTAGGGATTACGCAGGCAAGGATGTGTCATTCTTTTAGGTAACATTAGAAATATTTCCCATTTCATATTCATTCAAGGCTAAAGGTTAGCGACTGATAGGTGACGAAACAGTGCAATTAGAGTGGACTGTTATACCTAAAGCCGCATTTTAGATTTATTACTTGGTCGACCGTATCGAACGCTGCATCGCGGTTGTCTTTATTAATATTTTCAATTACTGAACCATTATTTCGGTGAGTACCTTTCAAATCTTCTCTTATATCAGTGGAAAACAATTTCCTACTAACTTTTCATTCTGGAATCGTCTCAATGGTCTTAATTCCAACGAAATAGAAGGTTAGGTTAGAATTATTAGCGAGCTCCTAGAGCGTTCATAACTTTGCAATGTCTGTCCGTCTGTCGGTTAGCACGATATCTCGAAAACGAAAGGACCGATTACGATGAAATTTTGCAGGTGGATTCTTTATCATATCTGGAGATCGGAGTTTAAGGATTTAATGGTAAAATGTATGTATAACGGGATAACGACATTATGAGGTCGGCATTTTAATCTCTTCGATTACACAGTATTATGAAGATTCTGGATGAGGCAGGCGAGTGCAATACGACGAGCTCTCGATCAGGGCGAATTGCGAAGCTTTATTCTTTGGAATGTTGGAATGATGGCACGCTGCAAACCTTTCTCAATGAGTGGACCACGTGGCTAAGGGAAGTCGCAGGTTCTGCCTAAGTATATTTTTGATGAAACTTCTCGTAGGTTCAAGATCTTCCTTGTAGTTTCTTGTGCAAATGGAGACAACAATTACTGATTTTAGTTGTGAGTGCTTGGTGATTTATGCCTCTTCGCACTCAACTCAATTTCAATGGGATATACACTCACACGTTACAGTACCCACCTAACGGACCCCTTTTCCTTGAGCTAATGAAGTCCAAACACGAGGAGACCAAAGAAATGGTAATAAAATAATATTGCCTTATCGGAGTTTAAACTTTTCACTTTTTTCAAGTTATTTCTCTCAACCCCTACGCAATCGGTCCACTACAAAGGGATTGAATATTGGGTGTCCCTTGGAAGGTGTGTCATCAGCTTGTGGGCTTGTGGGAGTGGGACCATCTCAGTTGAAACTTGAACGGTAAGGTAGGTACACATTCTTGTACATGTGTTACTTTAGAGCGGTAATGATCACTTTATGAACGGCGAATTAACATTGCTGTTTTTAGCGCATTTTTGCAAATTTATTTGTAAAAAGTAGCTTTTAATCTCACTTTGGCTGGCTGGCTGGCTGGCAACAAATGTGAGCGCGTAGAAGAACTCTTGTAGAAAGGCAACGGGTGTACGTGTATCTACCAGGCCGTGTAATTTGTCAACCTTAGGGACATGGCTACATAATTTGAGGTTGGCGACATCTGGACGTCATCCTCGAGCGTAGTTTACTAACGTGAAGGTTTTTCAGTTTTTTCCTATCTTCTACTACAGTCTTTTCAAATTGGTGTCGTCAGAAAGATGTTGTAAACGCGCACAACTCCTGCGTGGCGGAATTTTGTTTTTTGTCCTAGGGGCGATATTAATGACCTTTTGCAAGGCGCGCCCGCGCGTCTTCGAGAGGTAGTCAACTTCGGACGCATTTTACCTTCCGTTGCGAATTTTGTCACGCGGTTTATCGTTTCGTAAATCGCGAATCGCTATATCTCTCTTTCTCGTGTCGCCAATAGAAGCTCGAGCAATGAGAAGTGCCCCAAAAATTAAGTACTATCTTGTGGAAGGTTTTTAGCGAAATCCACCAAAATGTGGGTGTAATATAAGTATGCACCGAAAAAGGAAATGTGGTAGCCTCCGACAAGATCTAACGGATGGTGGAGTCAATCTTCAAACGCGAATTGTGGGTGAACGGAACATCAGAAGTGGGATCCAACAAAGGGAATGTGGTAGCCCGCGACAAGATTTTACTGATGGTGGAGTCAACTCTTCAAACGCGCATTGGAAGGGAACGGGACATCGGAAGTGGATACCGACAAAGGGAATATGGTAGCCCCCGACAAGATCTAACGGATGGTGGAGTCAACTCTTCAAACGCGTATTGGAAGGGAACGGAACATCGGAAGTGGATACCGATATAGGGAATATGGTAGCCCCCGACAAGATCTAACGGATGGTGGAGTCAATTTTCAAACGCGCATTGGAAGGGAACGGGACATCAGAAG